TGTATTTCAAGTGCGCTTTACTTTGAGATGGCTTAAAACTAATTCTCTGCATGAGCTTTTGTAACTGCATAAAACTTTCTCTCCTCATCACTTTTGTTTGAATATTTACTGTTTCTGCCTTCCAATTTGCATTTGAAGGCAGATGCAGTAGTAGTGCTTGGAGAGTTCAAACATGGAACCTAGATGATGCTGTGTTTGTCTAAATTAGTAGTATCAGGCAGTTAACCCTAATTGAATGGAAGCATGTTCTCCAGATGTTTGGGGTCCGTCCGTGTGAATATTTTTAGAGTTGATGTCAGGCATTTTTCTTGTCACCCCAGGAATATAAGAAGTCAGTGGTCATAAAAACAGCCCCTCACAATTTGGGAAATAGGCAATTTTCAGATTGGGCTGACCTGTGAGTCACCTACTTTATACCTAGCCAGAGCACCAATATTTGGGAAATGTTTCATACCAAAAAACAAAGCCAGGAAAACCTCTAAAAACAGTTAAAGTTCTGATGAAGCAGTCTTACTTGGTATTCACATATCATTTTCTTTGCTCTCTCCCAAGCACCATTGCTTCCCTTTGTGCACAGTTCCCCTCACACATCCTCTTTGCAAATTTACTGACTAAAATTGCCCTATATGACCAAAAGGGAATTACCTGGTATACCACCCATGTGTATTTTTTTAGCTTTTTATTTTGATGAGACTACACAGTCTTAGGGGGAAGAATCCTCCATACAGTTGTTAAAAGGAAATGCTGACTTCTAAGTTATGGATCATTAAAAGAGAGCTTTTAAAAGAGAAGAAAAAAATTTTTAACCTGACATTTATGTTCTATACAATAAATAACCAATGAAAATATTTCAGAATTGGAAGACAAAATCTGAAGGTCTCTTCCTTCTCTCTGGATACTCCTAGAAAATGTAATAAAACAGCCATACCCGGGTTCAAGGTGGCCTAGAAGGAACATCCTAATTGTACAGAGAACTGATGTTGGGATTTGTTGGTTCCACTTTGGAATCCATTGACTTTTTCCTATTGGTTCTTAAAAACAAATAGGTCTGCTTTTTCCCTTCACTTGTCTGTTGCCTTTTATTATTTGTATATTAAACATAAGGCTTTCTACATATGAGTAAGGCTAAATTTTATGCTAAGTTTCAAAAGGGTTGTGCTAGAACTACATTTTAATGACCTGCTCAGAAGTTGAAAACATCAAGTATAGTCATTCAAAACAGGCAACCTTATTTTTACCAGTTTTAGTTAACCGTGACTTCTATAGGAAAACAAGTACTGTAGTTTTCAGTATTGGGGGCATAAAATGTGTTAGTCAGGTACCTACTGACAGCTTGGGTGGATCAGGCACAATCCCAGCTCTTTGCCCTGTCTCCTGCCTCTTTCTGTTTCCTCTTGAAGCATCAGCAGCCCCATCTCACCATCTACCTATCCAGCCATCCTTCCTGCTCTGTGCCAGGCCTGGGGGCAGGTACCAGGCGTGGTTTCACTTTAGCAATTTTTATTAGGAATGGGGACTGGATTGATATTACCTACGTGAACTGATTCCTTAGCAATGGATCAATCCGAGAATGCTTGTTTTCTGAAACAAAACCAATATTTTAGATTTTATGGCAATTGCTGTTGTTTTAATCTAAGACTTTACAAATAGCCAGTAAGTTTCAAAAATACCTTTCTCGTGGCTTCGTTTGTTGGACCACATTGTATCTATACCCGTATTATTTTTTACTTGAACATAGATACGTATATTCTGTCCTAGGTCTGTTACAGTGATTGAGCAAACCTGTAGTTCGTTTTGATGCTGGAAAGCACTTGCCCTGCTTTAATTATTTTCACTCATTCAAAAAAAAAAAAAAACACTTTTATGGGAAACAGCAGTGAATAGATAAAACTGACACAGCTTCTGCCCTACAGTCTATTTGTAATAGTCTTGCAAGATATACTTCTCCTTTTATTATCCATTAATAAGGGACTTTACAGACCTACAGAAATTGAATGCTGTAAAAATTTCCACATAACATTCACGATCAAAAAAATGTGCTAACTATGCCATTGCCCTTCAGTATTGGTCCACAGTTATGTTATCTTGCTCATTTCTTTCACATTATCCCAAGCTCTATTGTGTTTCGTACATGTGAATTAAAATATTTTGTTAAGTTTCCTTTTGCAAGCTACCTGTTTATGTGAAAAACATGTTTTAAGCAAATGTTGACATTTTCTGCATTGTTTACTCCTGGTGTTTTACAATTAGCATATGGGAGCATAAATAAAGCTTTGATTATCAATGGCCTTTGCCCTTAATCATCAAAGTGTATATTTGACTTTAACTTAATTATGAAAGAATTATTGATGCAGGTAAGTGGTATAAAAACTCACAGCTATTAGACAAATGACAGTCAGAGTTGCGGAATTGCAAGTATAGAAACAGTTTCCAATACAGCGCTGTTCTTATGCCTGCATCCTCATAGGAATTTGTTTCAGTAGACCCTCTGATGTATGATTCATTTTTGCTGGTTATGTTTCTGTGTGAGTCACTGTTTTAGAACGTAAAACATAGGACAATGAACATGTGTGTGTGCACGCACACACAATGTTCCCTTTACTTACTGTTTTTATGTATGCAAAGTTGCCCTAGAAAATAAATGTGTGTTCTCGTACCAGCAAAAACTGGAAGGGCATCCTGAAGTGTGACTTTCTCAGGGCGAGTTGAAATGGGCATATGGGTATATTGCTTCACAATTCTTAGATCAAGGCAAAGAAGAATTTTAATCCTTTGAAAAGCATAATAACCGCTCTTTGACACATAAAAAAGAAAGGAGTACACATTTTGTTGTAGACTTTTCAGAATAGTAGTTACAATACTTTTTAAAAGTCTTTCTTATTGCTATAAAAAACACAGATAATTTTAGTTGACATTTTAGTTAGGATTACATAAATGCAAACGGTATATTTTTCAGTGTTTATTTTATCAAGCCAAATAATAATGAACTCTAACTGGCTCCCGGTTTCCTTTGTTTGGGGAAATAATTAGCAGCCCTTTGAAATTGGTGGGTCACTCATAAGAACTCAAAATAGTTAGATTGAAGTTAGGGAAGTTAACTGTGACTTTGGAATTATGTTTTGTGATAAGATGAATGAAAATGATGGCTTTATTTTATTTCAGGCTAAAATATGTAATGGGCAATTTGTAGACTATAGTAATATTTCAAATCAATATAGAAATTTTAAACTATATTGAAATACTTTATTAAAAGAAGCAAAGTCTTATATTTGTTTCCTTTTGGGGATCATATTGGCAGCTGTGATAGAGAAAATAGGCACTATTCCCTGTTCTTGTCTTTTAAATGTAATAACGGGATTTATCCACTTGCGTATTGGTTTGCCAACCTACCCTTCTCCTAGAATGCAGCCATATAAAAGTGAAAAAGGAATTTTAAGGCTTATGCCCCCTTCTTGACCACATACATGCTGTCAGGATATTCAGCTTCTATGAGCCTCTCACCTTAAAATGGCAGTGATAATAAATGCATCCACCTCTCGGGTCCATTGAATTTTCCAGAGAGGTCATAGAGATGAAAACACTCTACACTTGCAAGGTATTTATATTATTAAAATAACACAATACACAAAACAGGCTTTCATGTTAATAACTACCCTACCAAAACCTCAGTATGTGCCCTGGGCAAGTAAGTATTTACAAAGTTAATTTTATTATTTTGCAATTTTGATGTGCGGAATTCAGTTCTTCCATTTATGCATGTCCTGTGCTTTACAAAAGAATGGAGCTTTTGCTTTAACTTTTTAAATATCTTTTATTAGTCTGAATTTATTTTTCTTGTTTTTTGAACTATGAGAATAATGCTGCTTTCAGATATACCTTTATTATTTTTGTAATGATGCTTGAATGTTCTCTAGCAAATATTTTATTTATGCACCAAATTCTATGTGAAAATTTGATATCAGGAGAAATTAATTAGATTTGTGTTTGGAAAGTTACGTAAAATTGTTTCCATTTAGCTTGTCATTGGTGAATCCTTTTATTATTGTATTTTAACCCATTTGATTCATATTATCCCCCTCATGTTCTTAAAATCATGATTTCTGAACATTCATCTTTAAAATATTTCGAGCTTATTAATCTCTTTGTGCCCTGTAGTCTCTACAATAGATAATCCTGGTTGTTTTTTCTGCCTTTTGACCATTCTTTTCACATTTACTTGTACAATCAAGAATTATTAACAGATTTTTTTCTGTATGGATGTTCTTAGTTTACTGAAGATCATGCCAATAGGCATTTTTTACAGATATTTTAAGATTTTTTGACAATGATCTTTTAAAACCCAATGATACTTTGTTTCTGATACCTCTGCAGCAAACCTATATTTAACTTCCCTTGCGTGCTTTTGAAATCTAAAGAGTGCAGAGTTATTGCTAAATTTTAGCAATCCTTGCCAGCGTTCTGAGAAATAAGTCGGCAGGTGTTGCGGGTAACAAAAGTGCAGCTCAGAGAGGCCCGCCTTGCACAAGTGTGTGCCCTGTGGGCAGATGAGGTGCTTTCTTCAGGAGTCTGCTCTTCTTTGGTGAGGTTCCAGATGCACGGAGTTTGTCTTTTCCATGAAATTATTAAGCTTAATGAAATTTTGATCAGTTTGGTTTACAGAGAGTAACCCTAATATCCATTTCTCTCAGTAGGCAAGTTAGATTTAAAAAAATTAAAAACTGAATTTGGGAAAGAAGTGGGGAGTCATTCAGCATCACAAAATGCCATTTATATAGGTAATACTACTTTACTTTTTGTTTCTGCATTTATTTGGTCATGTAAGTGTGCTTACATTTTACTAATAAAAATTTGCAACTGGTGAAAATTAATGCATGACTCGTCAGCAGAGTATGGAATGTAAGCATGTGCCATGAAATTGCAATTCTTTTATCCTTTATTTTCCATCATTTACATACTGATTCCATTTAGAGTGTAGTCCATTCTTATTTTTTGTTTCACAGATCGGCCAAAATGGGAAGGACTGGATTCTGCTCTCTTCCACGAAGAGTCAATGGGACTGGCTAAGATCAAGGTCTGAGGCTTTTTCCATCTGTCATCAGGTATGCAATGAACAAGAATCACTACAGTTCTGTGCATGTATCCTTAAAGTATTTGATATGCATATTATGAATGTGGACTTTTATTCAATGTTGAGCTCACAACCTTATATTATCCTGTAGTTTTAAATGCACCTATAACTAATTTGAGTTTTGTAATATGTTGAGATGAAAAGATATTATTAGCCATGAAAAAATTTCAGCTGGTCTTAGAAAAGTGTAATATTTGAAATCTACAGTTCTTCATTGCTCAGTATGTACATGCAAAGATAACAGAATTCACTTGTTACTCCCTATTGAGTATCACCAAATTTAATATAATCAAATGTTTGCATATTGTTTCATGGTGTACTTTCAATACCTTTTTTTCACTGACTTAGAAGTTATCATTTTTTTCTCAACTGGAATTCTCTGCTCCTTATGCTTGGAACTCTTAACACAACAATGACAAACATGACCAGTCTTTGAAATATTTTCAGATACTAGTTATATACAGGGACTTAGATACTTTGCATTCTGTGTTGATTTCCCATTGACAAATTTATCAGCCTGTTTCCCACAGTGCTCTAAATAGGTGCATAAAAGCATCATGTTAGGAAATCAAAGAGTCAGAATTACTGTTTTTTTCCTGCCTTGGCAGAGTGCTTTCTACCAATTTACAGTGTCATTGCCGGTCACAGCAGAATAGCTGCATAGATAGTTCTGGGAGAGCTAGAGAAGCTGGCTCTTGAATGGGAATATAGCAGGGAAAGAACAAGTCCCTGAAGTTCAGGAAATCTAAAACCAGGGGAGCATATTGTGTTAGCATATTAGTAATGTCAGTTGTGTTAACTGTGTTAACGTCACTTTTAAACTGCAGAGGAGATTTAGACATTTGCACAGCTTGAAGGGAGGGCCTTGTCTGTGTCTCCTTACTGAGGAAGAAAGGGTACACAAAGCAGACACTGGTTAATTTGCCCACAGGCCTTACCTTTTAATCAAGTGAGTGGATAACTGCCCTATTTCACCGGTTTAGTGACAGCCTCTACATTAAAGCACAGCGGGATCTACTGTAATACACATGTAGTCTTACAGAAATTAGGTTAAATTTAGGGCCCCTGCAAAAGTATACCTGGAATCTGCAGGACTCAGTGGGACATACCTCGCTCGTAAAGGCAAACTAGGGTTAGTCCGATGCCAAAACAAGGGCTATAAAGAAACTGGTTTTTGTTTGTTTCTAAATACATAATAGCATGAAAAATCCAACTGAGTCATAGTTGATTAATCATCATTTAGCCACGCGCAGTTTTCACTTCAAAAAGCAGATCTTTTTTAAGAGACATTTCTGTGTCTCTTAAGAGTACGTTTCCAGACTGGCGCTCATGAAACTTGAGTCCCCTTTAACAACTTTTATATCAGGTGGATCTTTGGGGAGTTGGTTTCTTACTCTGAGAAATACAGTTGATAATATTCACTATCTCTTGTCCATGAATTTCCAAAGGTTCCAATCAATTTAAACATTTTTGTTTAAGTAGACATAATCTTTGCTGTACGATCCGTACATGTCATTCTTCCTCACAGCACCCATGGTGAATTGAAACTCTGATAACACCTTTTACCTGAAATGCCTCCATAATGATGTGTCCTCGCACAGGTATTGTGCTCCAAGCCAAAAGTCGCACTGGTGTACTGCCCACGGGTTACAGGTGTGCCAAAGACTGATCCCCTCAGCTCTTGGGGAGGCCTGAGGACTCTGGCTCATCCACTAACCTCAGTGTGCCCAATGAACAGAATCATTTTCTGTGATGTGCAAAAAGGTGAGGAAAATTACCTCGACCGAATCTTTCCCCCCCACAAATAAGGAGCCCTGATCCTCACGTCAAATAACTTCACAAGGTGTTACCATTTCCAGAATGCATATTTGTTACAAAGAGAAGTCATTTCCACTCTTGACTTGGAAATCCCTCTGTGTGTGATGACACTGGTATTGAGAGCAAATTTCCACTCTGGGTGGTGCCTTCAACTCTTTCAGGCCTCCCGTGTCTGCATTAAGCACTTCTTCCATGGACCAAATGGTTCACAGGGTGCCTAAAAGAGTTTCCAGTCTCTTACCTGTATTTCTCTGTAACACAGAGTCTGACTAGAGTTGACTTGCACAAGTTAAGAGGCTTTTTTGACCTTAAGATATTTGCAGAAACCTATTTCTGTTCTTAATCAGATTTCTGTTGTCTAATCCCTTGTCAAAATTGAAGCTTCATAATGCTACTTTGAGTGTCATGTTTTGATGCTTCGTGAGAGTTCCTGAAATCACTACTGCTTTCCCTAAGTACGACATTTGTCAGGTGGAATTTCTGGGCGGGGGGGTGGGGGTGTGAACTGTTCATTCTGAGCAATGCATTAATGTGTATTTTGGCAAATGTAAAGAAACCTACAGATATTACATTAGACCAGCTGAATCCATTTTATGGTTTCTTTTTGAATTCAAAAGCATCACATAGCAAATAAAAATTTTAAAAATTAAATTTAGTTACAAACTAGTTGTTTCTTATTTTTTTTTCCAGTCCCTTTTTGCTTTCTTTTACGACCACATGAAACTTGAGAAGCCACCTAAAGCTAAATCATTTAGTGGAGTTGGGCAGTTCCCAAGTGTCCAACAAGAAGGCCTGCTTTAGGCTGCGATGGCCACTGTCATTCCTGGTGATTTGTCAGAAGTAAGAGATACCCAGAAAGTCCCTTCAGGGAAACGTAAGCGTGGTGAAACCAAACCAAGAAAAAACTTTCCTTGCCAACTGTGTGACAAGGCCTTTAACAGTGTTGAGAAATTAAAGGTTCACTCCTACTCTCACACAGGAGAGAGGCCCTACAAGTGCATACAACAAGACTGCACCAAGGCCTTTGTTTCTAAGTACAAATTACAAAGGTATTAAACTCTATTTGTCTTTCAGATTATATTTTCTATTATGTTGGCCCATGTGAAGCCATTGTAAACGTATATATGATTGTATACACGTTCTTGAGCTGCTTTGCAGAGAGGAAATGTTAACGTAGATTAGACGTTGGCTAGCTTTAGTATTCTAAGTCACATACTTTGATGTCTTAGTGTCTTTGGATTTTTTTTTTTTTTAATGAAATGCTTACTGAGAGTAGAATTTCCGTTTGTGCAAAGAGAGTACAAGGAGAGGGTATGGACGTTTACGTGAGTATGTTGAGTCTCACTCATTGGCTGCTGTAGTAATAGCTACGAACCAGCGAATCCTGAAGTGGCCACTTCAGCGGCTTGAGCTCTGCAGCGCTGAGGGGTATTGACTGTCCTCGTAGCGCATGTTCAGTTAAAGCGTGTCCGTTAGCAGGGAGCCTCTGTGTTAGCATAGCAGCTTAGCTTCCATTTGAAAAGTGACTCCCTGCCATTTGTATCGTGATACTGACAGAATATGTCTGTGTTTCAAGGCACATGGCTACTCATTCTCCTGAGAAAACCCACAAGTGTAATTATTGTGAGAAAATGTTTCACCGGAAAGATCACCTGAAGAATCACCTCCATACGCACGACCCCAACAAAGAGACGTTTAAGTGTGAAGAGTGTGGCAAGAACTACAACACCAAGCTCGGTTTCAAGCGTCACCTGGCCTTGCATGCCGCGACTAGCGGCGACCTCACCTGCAAGGTCTGCCTGCAGACTTTCGAGAGCACGGGAGTGCTGCTGGAGCACCTTAAATCGCATGCCGGCAAGTCGTCCGGCGGGGTGAAAGAGAAAAAGCACCAGTGCGAGCACTGCGATCGCCGCTTCTACACCCGGAAGGACGTCCGGAGACACATGGTGGTGCACACGGGAAGGAAGGACTTCCTCTGTCAGTACTGTGCACAGAGATTTGGGCGGAAGGATCACCTGACTCGACACATGAAGAAGAGTCACAATCAAGAACTTCTGAAGGTCAAAACAGAACCGGTGGACTTTCTGGATCCATTCACCTGCAACGTTTCTGTGCCTATAAAAGATGAGCTCCTGCCGGTGATGTCCTTACCTTCCAGCGAACTGTTGTCAAAGCCATTCACAAACACTCTGCAGTTAAACCTCTATAACACTCCGTTTCAGTCCATGCAGAGCTCGGGACCTGCCCACCAAATGATCACAACTTTACCTTTGGGAATGACGTGCCCGATAGATATGGACGCTGTCCATCCTTCTCACCACCTTTCTTTCAAATACCCGTTCAGTTCTACCTCATATGCCATTTCTATTCCTGAAAAAGAACAGCCACTAAAGGGGGAGATTGAGAGTTATCTGATGGAGCTGCAAGGTGGCGTGCCCTCCTCATCCCAGGATTCCCAAGCATCATCATCTAAACTAGGGTTGGATCCTCAGGTCGGGTCCCTCGATGATGGTGCAGGGGACCTCTCCCTGTCAAAAAGCTCTATTTCTATCAGTGACCCCCTAAACACGCCCGCCTTGGATTTTTCCCAGTTGTTTAATTTCATACCCCTCAATGGCCCTCCCTATAATCCTATCTCAGTGGGGAGCCTCGGAATGAGCTATTCCCAAGAAGAAGCACATTCTTCTGTGTCTCAGCTGCCTCCCCAGACACAGGATCTTCAGGATCCTGCAAACACTCTAGGGCTCGGCTCCCTGCACTCCCTGTCAGCAGCGTTCACCAGTAGCTTCAGCACGAGCACCACACTGCCACGTTTCCATCAAGCTTTTCAGTAGGAGTCCAAGACATGGGCTGATCACAGAAACCTATGTGTAGCCCTGCCTTAGATGACCATTTTTATTTTAGTGCCTACTTTAAAACAGCATAAAAACTTCTGCTTTTGTACAGTACCAATTTTCATTAAGCCAGTATGAAATAGAAACAGGCTTTATACATGAGCTTTGGAACCATTTGCGTTCAGTTATGTTTACCTGGGTATTTTTTCCACGCTCACTGCCAATTGTCATATTTTAAGATGATTTTTCCTCTAGGAAAGCCATTATTAGCAGTAAAGTCTTACGAGTCCCACGTTTAAATCGCTTTGAGATCCTAAAATTTTCAGTTCTGTCCAATAACAGTGGCTCTACCTTTTGACATTTGGCTCATTAAAGATTTTTGCAATAGAATGTACATTTTCTAAAATGTATATGAATAACCTGAGTTTTTAAATTTTTACTAGTCTCTAAATGGATTCTTAAGCAAATGTTTTCAGATGAATTCAGAATCCAGTTTGGAGAGATAATAGATGTTTCTTAGATATACCGTAATTTCAAGTCAGTATATTTTGAAGATTTTGCTATTGTCTGGCTCAAATATTTGCCGTCTATATTATGCACATATAAGGAAAACAAAACCTAAACACAAAGCACCAGTGTTTATAGCAAAAAGAGACTCCTGGTGAGGTGACACGGCATTCCATGTTGCTCAGTAGTTGGCCTAAAACTCATATGCAGGATATTTTGCCACATTGCAAAGTTGCTCTCTTTCCAATTTAATAGTACTCATCGTGTTACGGCATCAGAGTCTTCAGAGTCGACGTATGGCTAGATCTCTCTCATCTTGCACGGCCAAAGGGTGGGTCAGGTGCAGCCAGCAATTCTATTTTAATTGTCAGTCCACAGTTAGTCCAGAATCGAGAGCCACTGTGGAACCACAGATGTCAGGGGTGTTTATCCCAGAGTGGACTGTCTCTTCTTCTGTGGTGGGATAGTCTCCTAAGAAGAAAGATAGATGTGTAAAGCACTTGGTTCAGCTTGGGAACTGGTCTAGGGATCCTGGCCCTTGTTGCCAGGGTTGGAAACTAGACTCTTCAGGAGTAAAGGAAAAGCATATTGCTCACATCACTTCTTGCTGAACTTAATACAGTTTTCTCTCCCATAAGAGCCCAAAGCAGAAAACAAAACAATAGCCCTACCCCTATGGTAACTTTCTTATTCCATGTTGATTTATCTTTCCTTGCTCTCTTCGGATGGAGACTTTAAAATTAAATGCATTAGAAAACTATTTGAGGAATGACCACAAGGTTTTAAGCGACTAAAAATATATACAGTAAAACCCCACTTTTACACGTCTCTGGGAAATTGGGAGAGAGTTGCAAATCAGTTGAATTTGTAGAGGGGGGAAAATCTAAAGCAAAACAAGCACTGTCTTAGTTAATGTGAAAGTAACAACCAAGAATATTGTGTTCACTGAATAAAATAGTTACTGTGGGCTTTCCTCAGATTAGACAACCACCATAACCTTTTTGAAGGTCAAATTACACTTTTCTAAATATTGGTTGGGACATCAGCCTCTGAAACATATCTATTAAGCACTTGTTAACACCTTATTTTGGGACCCTGTCTTTTGGGGTGGGTATGAAGGGGAAGGTTTATAGAAGAGTATATATCTCTTAAAAAAAAAAAAAAGAAAAAGAAAAATATTTCTGAGCACTCATTAGCCCTATACGGAAGCTTCTTTTTTCATTTATAGGGCCAATTATCACTGCAGATTGTGATGTTTACCAAGAATTTCTTAAAAATGAGTGCAGATTACTGAATATAATACATTATTTAAAATATTTGGGAGTAGTATAATTTGTGGAGAAATGTAAATTGTAATAATGTAAATGGGGGTTTCACTATATATATTATACACACACACACACATACACACACACACATACACACATATATCGCACTTCATAGAATCAGAGTTGCTCTCTTAAGGGAGCTTTGGCTCCTGATATTTTATCATGCTCCTATTTTTTTTTTAAATTCTAGGAGCAGTAGTTTTTATACTTATGTATTTAAATTTTATTATAAAAAATTACATTTTATAAAAAAAGTGTGTTCCAAAGGCATTAAAATTATATATGTTTTAATAAGGAAATACATTTAAAATTTTTCAAACTGCTCCTAAGCTTTTGATTAGGAGAATATTTGCTCTGAAAGTAGGCTTTTAGCTCTGCTTTATTACTGTTTCCTTTAGTTTCTATGAAACAGATTGCTTACTTAAATCATTAGTTGAATGATTAGTGTTCAATATTGCTTTAATCGCCATTAAAAAAGAAAAAAATTGGTGACAGAGCACAAATAAATAGAAAACCTATTTTTACACAGCCATCACAAATACAAGTGTAGAAGCACTACTTTGTCTAAACTTTGCTTAAGGAGAAGTCAAGTTAATGACCTGAGACGTTGGCCTTAGCAGGCTGTATCTCACTGCTAATAAACAATTAAAAAGGGAGTACCAGGATTTATTCAATAAAGCATTTTGGAAATGGGGAATGGCGCCATATATGTATGTATATTTTTAGCCCGATTCTCGCCCTGCATGGAATTCGGTTACATGGAGGCACATCTTTCAGGGCACCAGGGTTAAAACTGTAGAGTCTTAATTTTCATGTGAACACCTCTCGGCCTGTTGCCACCTCATAGACTTGAAATAATACTTCCAAGGAAGAGGGAATTCAGCTCGTGTGTTTTTCAGATTGACTCTACTGGTCACCAAACCCTTTTTGAGAGAATTTCTGTTAAACCTGAGGCAGATTCATTTATCTTAATTGCACAATGGTCTAACAAGGATGTAACGCAGAACTGGCTCTTTTTTTCTAGAAAAAAATTGACATTTGTTTTTACATCAACTGGGTGTGATTAAAAATAATTATTGCCAATGCTGTTTTCATTCTCCCCATGGCCAGAATCATCATCCTTGAAATTTCTAGTAGTGCCTTTGCTTGGTTTAAAAAAAAAAAAAAAAGGGATTATCATTAAGTAAAAATATTTCAGTTTAGAATTTGGACCTCAGACAAGATATTGAACCTCATTCAGTTTGAACTTCCACACGTGTGTACAAATTCAATCACCAGACACAAAAGCATGAGTGTGGAAGGGTCTCAGCACTGTAAGCAATATTATCCACTGATGTATGCAAATACCATCTTTATAGTTATTGGTCACTGTTAAAATTCACATTTTAAAATCCTATTACCAAGTGCAGTTTTCAGAAACTTCAGTTGTCCTGGCTGATTACACACCACTCTTTGTGCAACTTTTTAACTTCACTTAGTGTTTCTTCCAAGCTATGTATTTTTGCCTATTTGTTGCTTGTGCTTTATTATTCTTAGTCATTTGTGGAATATAGTGATATATTGTGTTAATTTGGACAGTAGCGGTTTTTAAAAACCATATACTGACTGAAACATGAGCCAGAGCTGATTGCTTTATTAAGCTAATAATGAATGTTAAAGAGTACATATTTCAGGATCATTCATCTAGTAAGCAATACACATATATAGGCCAATATTTTTTTAAAAATAGAGCTTGGTCAACCTCTATACTACACATATTACAAGATATAGCACTTTCAAAACGAATCTAAACCTTTACAGAAACTTTCTTATAGGTTATGCCTTTTATTTTAAGACTTATTATAATTTGTTTCAAGTGCCATTAGATGATATATATGTAGGCCTTTGATATATAATGCTTTGTGTTCAAAAATGGTAGATGGTATTTTAAACAGGTACATTTTTACAGTGTTTTCTTATCAATTTGCTATATTGCACAGAATCAGTGTGTGTCTTTTCATAAGGTTTTACAATGGTTTATTTTTTTACAAGGTTTACGTGTTTCAAAACACACTGTCTTCCCAGTATGTAAATTAAAAAATACCAGTTCGCCCAAGTTGCTTCTAGCCTACTGAGATCCATGTGACATTGGAGGAGGTCTTTTAAATGTCGAGTATTCTTCATTAGCAATAGTGGACTGTTATCTCTGACAAATAGTGCCTAAGTTGACTTGGTCTTCTTTTTCTCACACTGTGTCAGCAGCCGTGTCTACAACAAAGATAGTCTGTCATGATTCCATAGATCCACATAAGTCGCCTTGTATAGTTTTGTGCTAGAAACCCATACGGAGCGCCTTTTGGATCACATAAAACAAACTGATACTGCCCACGTTGGTAAAGGCACACTTAGATCATCACCCTTAGGCCCTTCTCCATTATCAACCCTTTGAGGATGGAAAGGCAGTGTCTTTTGAGAAGTTTATCTAGCTCTAGAAATGACAGAACTATTGCTAATGTATAAAACACTTCCTTGTATAAGCTTCAGTGGTACAGATGAACCAGAATGAATGTTTATCTTCTCAGAAACACTCCTTCAATATTATGTTGGATCATGCTGCTAATGTAACTTGGGATACAACTCTTCATGGTGCTACAAACGTCTCTGTCTCGTTCAGTCATATTTTTTTAGCCATAGGAAAAAAAGGACTCCATTAGGCGTAAAGGTGTTCAATATATTTTTATACTGTGACTTAATCTGTCATTAACAGACTTTTACACCACCCACCACAATGTATTCACGTGCACTTGCAAAAGGAAATCTTGGACGTGCAAATGTTATCAGAACAAACCCAGCTTTTGTCCACAAGGTGACTATAACTCAGAATGAAAAGTGGGCTTTATAATATGGTGTGGAGTGAAGAACATGCTGTATGTTACTAACAGCCCTTTGAATTTAACAAAAACTGGGAATCCATTAGGAAATGGATTGCATCATGCCTGAACATAAGCTGGACTGCTGAAATTGTATTTTTAGCTGACGAAAAAGTGTTTGGACTAGTACTCTAAAAATGTTCTAATGATAAAGTTTTGAGTCAAAATAGAAAAGAAAAATCTGCATTCCAGGCTGAATTTTGTATATTTTTATTGCATTTAAAATTGCTATTCTGTGATATTGGGAAATCAAGTGGCTTATCATGTATAT